CTGTTCCATTTTGTTGGGTCTTGCAGAGTATTTTATCTTTTGTTCTTACCTCTTCACCTGTTTTCCCTTTTCTGATCTTTCTGCTGCTGGTCACTCTAACAACACGTTACTCCTGGAGGTGCCAGCTGTAACAGATAGCTTCTGTATAGATTCTCTATCTGTAAGGTAATTCCCTTTATAACTACTCTGTGTTGTACCTCCCTGCAGTAGCTCCTACTGAGAATTAGTGTATGTTATGGCATATGTTTTCGCTGTGGTCTGTAGGATTTCTTAATGTTGTAATGACTGCTTTTACACACTTACTTATTTCCACTTTCTTTATGCTGCTTGACTATGTTGATCTTCTGCTTGATCTTTTGTTCACAGTTACAAACTTTTCTTTCTTTCCCTGTGTACATTAGAGTTATTTAAAGTTGCCTTATGTCTGTACAGCTAGTGTAAGACCATAAATCTTTTATCTGAAGAAATTAAAAGTGAGTTAAAGCATGTTGCTGGGACATAGTGTTTGGGGGAGAAAAGACAAGCTTTTAAGTGCAGAAGGCCTTCTCCAGTTGTAGCAAGAATTCAGGTAAAGTCCTGAGTGAGAGCGTTTGTTCTGAGTTCATCTTTTGTATGTTTATCTGTTGGACAATTTGAGAAGGGTAGCTGAGTATAAGGAACTATTAGTAAGGGAAGTAGTGTTAAGATAACCTGCTGCACAGAGGCAATTTGGAGCTACGGAAGAACTTCTCTTTCACATTGTAAGGAATTATTTATATAAAAAACTTCATGCATATCCTCTTTTTACACTGTGGTGGTTTCAATTGCAGGGATGAGCAATATCTTAGAAAATGAGAACTTCCTGCTTAAGATAAAAGGTGAAGAAAGTCAAACAGATGCATACTGTATTCATCAAAGAACACATCTATTTAAATCACTTATGCATTTTTTTTTTCTTTATGATACAAGTGTGAATCGCTCTTCTTTAATTTGCCATTAGAGGTGAAAACAGATGGTAAAGGCTTATTTCAAAGTGTTTTCCATTAAATTAACCTATGCTGTTCAGTGACTGTTCAGTGTAATAGGATTTACCCCCTCTGGAATTCAGTAGAAAGAAATAAGATTTCAGGAAATGTTCAGCGTATCAAAAATTTCACTGTGTCTGGGCTTACTGTAACAGACTTCCATTTGTAGTTTAGGTAGTGTAATAATAAAGAGTAATTTTTCACCTTTGAGACCATATGGAAATAAGGCGTTGACTAGTGAGAAAATGGTTCTGAGCAGATGGCTGTAAATGATCCTAGGTGAATTTGATTTTATAGCTTTTTAGTTGGAACTGGTTAGTCATTTTAGCTTGGAAGCTGTTTCAAAACTGACATCTAGATTTTTATCCCTTCAGAGATGGGATAGCAAAGTGTGGCAAAGGTGGATGTTTGTCTTCAGTGTCTTTGGCAGTAATAGTAGCTTAGCATGAATTTATAAAGATTAGGTAAAAACTGTCTTCATTATGGAACCAATTTTTTTTTAAATAAATATTCTTTTAAGTCTTACTCACATAATATCCCTGATATTGCAGTCCATGATTAAATTGAAAATACAGCTTGCATGTTAAAATGTAACCTAATGTTTCTACTTCAGTAAATCCTTCAACTGTTGTGTTTAGAATAATTTTATGCTGGTAGTTGATAAAATTTTTTCTTAAATTTAAGAATAATCCTTTTGAAAACTGTTACTCACTGGACGTAATTAATCCTGAAACTGTAATTGTCATGATGAATTTAGAAAATTACTAAGGTATAATAAGAAAAAAAAATTAGACTACCTGTAAGCTAATGAAATGATGATATAAAAACTCATTGTTACTGGAAGTATTATTGATTTAAATAAATGAATGTTTTCAAAACAGAATTAATATGCATAAAGAAAAGGATTCTTTTATAATCTTATGGTCTGGATTGTCTTGGTTTTTTTTTTTCCCTGAAATGAAATTACAGTACTTAAATGTAAATGAACCATCTTTTTCTGCACAGCTGTCTACTCTCATGTACAGGTGATAAATTTTGAGCACCTAATTATAAACAGCGATGAAATAAGAGTGTTAATACAGTCCAGATTTGCACTTCTGCTAGCAGTTACATAAGCTGTGAAAGATACTCTAGCTTAAGCTCGAACGAAATTAAGAATGCAGCCAAACTTACATAGACTTTATTTGAATGATGAGAATTTCGTGTTGTTAGTCACCTTTTGAGCCCTGCTGGAGGGATGTCCTCTCTGGCTTCATGGAAAGTGGAGAGTTCCTCATCAGCTCATCTCATGCAAGTATTGGGAGGAAACAATTCATGGCTGGGAATGACCCAGGTTAGCATTCACTTAGCAAAAATAAAGAATAAGGGAAGTGTGAATGCAGTTGCAGCTGGAGTTGGTTCTCCCATCTCATTCACCCCTGGGCTGCAAAGAAACTTGTACCTGCACAAAGGGTATTGCGAATGGGAGACGAAAGAGGGTAAAGGACACTTCCCCACAAAGCACTTCTCTTGTTTTTGTGATGTTAGATTATGGCAGAAAGTGGGAGTTTTAATTTTTCCACCTTTTATATCTGGTTTAGTGGGAAGCTTTAAAAAACATTAGACAAATAATATATTAGTTTTATTAGTAAAATCTTTCTGTAGGTATATTTTATAGATGTGGTACAGACTTTGGCATTGCTAGTATTCTTTTGAGACGATCATGGTAAAAGATAAAATGCTGTGTAGAGAGATAAGTGAAAAGTAAATGCAGTAGGAATAAAAGGACAATAACAGAAGGGGAAGAGGTGGATTAAAAAATAGGGAAAGTGGTAGGAAGAACAGGGAGAGAAGGCAAATAGTATTGTGATAATCTGATAAACTTTGAAGTACTGTTCAACACTGAAACTGTCACTTTTTCCATTCGATGGCTACCAACGTTCCAGAAGATACATATATAGAAATTATACTTGTTTAAAAATACAGTAATTAAAACTCTCTTGAAAAATGTGTTTTTCATTTAAGTCCTGGTTTTCCACTCTGTTTGTTAGTTTTCTAGTATTTTAGCATTAGGTGTGAATAGCGAGTGCTGTTTTTCTTGAAAATATTTGTCTTGGAGGCTGTGTCGTACAACATCTGTCAGTACCACAGAGTTTAAATTGTTCTAAGGCCATGTGGCCGTGTGGAAAATGGAGCTGACTTGTTCCGTTTCTGTTTTGGCAATATTACTTAGATTTTAATTTCCTGAGATGGAACATTCTTCAAGGTTACTCCATCCTTCTGAAAACACAGATATTTTCGTTTCTCTCTTTTTCTCTCAAATATAGATATGTTTTGAGCATATCTTAACTTATATGACAGTAGTGATTACATGGCCACTTACTGAAATGCAGTCCAGATATAAAAGCAATGCAATCTAATGGAGTTTTTTGTTTGACCATTTCAAGTTTTGGGGACAACTGCTTTGTGCAAAGCCCTTTGAAAGGCTTAAAACTGGGAAAAAGTATGTTAGCTCTTAAGACTGTTCAAGGAGCTTGACTTAATTAAGGTATAGAAAGCCTGGTATGATCAAATGAAGCTCTGTTTTGCTCTCAGTTTTAGTTAAACCTTGTATACTGGGTTGTTGGATTTGAGATACTTAGCATTCTGCAATTTAGGTATGTATGCTTTTTGCTTTTAAACTTTTAGTATTAGCCTACTGAATGATAAAATACTACTTATCCATATGTTAACAGTGGAGAGTGGCTGGCATTCCGTGTAGAATGGCATTTCTTGTCCCTGTCCTTCTCTGTTCCAGCACTGGAGCTTAATTCAGGCGTGGTTCCCTTCTGTTCTTAAGTTTCTTTTGAACTGGTTCTGATGTAATGAATTATCAGTGCACTAAAGCTGTATTGCAATTTAATTTTCTGTATTTATTCTTCAATTCATTTTTATCTCTGCATATGTTTTTACAGATAAAATATGCAGTAAAATTACAGAGGAGAAAGTTGAGAGACTTAGAAGTTTTCTTGAAAAGTGCTTAGTTGCATATGCCTCAAGTGAAAGGAATTCTCTTCTACTCTTAACATTATGATCACTTTCTTTTCCCATTGATTACTATTTAGTATCATGTTTGGTTGCAAAATTGATCAAAGTGATTGTACTACTGCTACTCATAAATACTGTAAATGTAATCTTCTGTTCATATCTGCAGTTTAGTTTTGATATGAATGCAGCCGTTTGAAAGTTACATTGATACATGTGAACAAGACAAGTAGAAAGCTTGCAGGGCTTTTACTATGTGTTTAACTGGTTTTATAGTGTTAATATGGAATTTTTCGTGAAGTAGGCAAGGCTTCTTATAAAAAAGTGAACTATTTTTTAGTAATTTTTATAAGCACCTCTCCACCTGCAACCTCATGAAAGAATTAAAAAAAAGCGTGCTAGCATTAAAACTCATTTTGTTAATAGTACACAAATATGAACAGCTTGAAAATACTGAACATGAGCCAAGGTGGCCCTTTAAATACTTCAGAGATGCTTAGTTTTGAGTGTCTCATTATTTTCTTTATTTCACGTTGTAGTGCTTAATCCTTTTATTTACTTGTCATGTAAATTTGTCTAATTTTTTTTTTGCCTTTGCCTCCCCAGGTGGCCTAGAACATTGGCAGGCATCACAGCATACCTGCTGTGTACACGGTATTCTGCTGGCAGTGGGATATATCCTGGCAACTCACAAGATGAGAGAAGAGCCTGGCGCAGATGCGACAGGGGAGGGTACTGGGCCGAAGAGGACTACTCCAGGTGCCAGTATGCAAATGATGTGACTAGAGTTCTTTATATGTTCAATCAGGTAATTTTTTGCATTTCTAGAAAATCAAATTCTTTAATGAAAATAAAACCTCAAAAGTCTGTTTCTCTGAGGGTTTTCTTTTAAGCGGGTAATGCTAATGGTGTAGATGAATTCTGAAGAACACATGCCTCTGAATACAACACTAGAATTTGTAGAGTTATGTTAAGAGCTTGGTTTAATACCTGTTTTGAGTGCCACCAGATTGCAAGTGCAAGGAAAATTTTATTCTTTGGTGTATTTGTGTAAAGCATAGGAGGATGGTACTTCTCATGATTGGTTTTGTCAACTGGATGACCTGTCCTCGCCACATGCTTTAAAGAAATATTGCAGGCTGAAGTTGTAAGGGAGAATAGCTATTTCCATTATAACAACAGAGTAGTCAAACTCTGCCTTTGTTGCTGTAAACTTCTAATAGTGTGAGCAGTGAGAGTTAACTAGTGAAAGTAGTGAGTATTAACTAGGTAATCTGGTAGTACTCACCAGGATACAAGAGGGTATTCTAGATTTTAAGTGTAGCTATGAAGCAAAAATTCTCATCCCCAAATTCATTTTGAGGCTTATGTCTAGTTAACTCACACTTTCACAAACGCTGTTCTACAATGATGTGTCCAGCCTTGTAAGTATAGGTGCTGTATTGTATAATAGTCCACAAAGCTTTGAGCCTCTGGTTTAAGCTTGATGGTTTCGACTGCATACTATTAGATCACTAGCATCAGTGCAGCTGGTGAAACTACAGAGATGTGAGAATAGCTTTTGGTATGGTGAGTCTTGTGGTTTTTTGGGTTTGGTTTGTTTGGTTTGTTTTTTACTAATACAGCTATGCCACTTGAGTTGATGATGTTGGTAGCGCTGCCCATGTTTAACATAAGCTCTGGTGCTTGTCTGGTCTCTGGGTAGGATTACTGCATGTGTTCAGGGTGTGAGCTCACATGCTTCTAGAGAAAACTTCACACTGTATCAGAAGCACCATAGCCCCTGACTGGGACAGTCTGGATCTGAACTGATATTTGCCCTTTGGATGTCTCCAATTTATACGTGTAGTGAGGTCTTGACATCTAGTGACTTGGGCTCTATCTAGTTTGAGGCAAAAGCATTGAACTGTGTATTGTGTAGACAGGTCGTTGCTGACTTGATTCCTCTGTGTTCAGTTACTAATGCAGGCATAGCTTTTTATCTTCATGCTCTGCTTCCCTGAGAACCAATGAGCAGTGGTGTAAGAAAGATTGAAAGTGTGGGAGAGGGAGAAAGGAAAAGGACTAACTGCTTTGGTCTAAGATAAACTTAGGCATTGACATAACTGCGCTGTGCTGCTTTACATTCCTAGCACTAGAGGTGCATGCCCTGGCTTGGTAACAAGAAATATACTTGAGGGCTGAAATGGAGGGTGGTAGTGCTAAATGACTGATTAGCAGGTGGGAGATGATGCCAGGAATCCCTTTGTAGGACACTGCAAGAGTTAAGTGTTCGCTTATTGAGAGCTTTGATGCTGCTGTTTAGCTTTTTCCTCACCTGGGAATTCACATTTTCCAGCAGGGTCTATAAGTACTCCTGGCTGTGTACAGTACTCTATGTACTGTACTGTGGAGATGAAACTGCCGAAGAGCCTGGATTACTTCAGCCTGGCCTAACTGCTTTTGCTTAGCCAACATTTTTCAGGTTGTGGAAGAATGTTGCCAACTTTGTGTTAAAAAGTTTAAAATGTGAGGGTCAGATCAGTATCTTCAGAAAAAGCTGAAGTATAATTTCCATGTGTGAAGTAGGTAACTTCCTATTATCTCATTAAAAATACATGCTCACAGTGGTGCTACACTGAAATGTAGGTTTAATTTTTATTTTGAAGGAAGAAGTGGCATGTTTTTGTTTTAGTTGTTTTTACTCATTAGACCCTTCCTTTTTTTACATGTAGTAGGTCTAGAATTTTTAGCAGTATTCTGCAGAGAAATTTATTGTCTCTTTGAGACTAATAATAAATGTAATTATACTACAATCGCCTTTAGAGCCTTTGAACACAAAGGTAGTTGAGCTGTTCTGAAAATCAGAACTCTGCTAAGCAATTTAAATTAAGTAGAGGTCTAGGTCTAAAATGGAGTGAAACCTTTGTAGCACTTAAACAAGAACATTTATATTTCACTGTTCTTGTTTGTGTATCATACATATAAAGTTGTAAGTGAAAAAAATTCATGTTTAAAGAAAATGTTCAAAGAAATTATGCATAATATCTGAATTTGAAAGTTTACTTTGTTGAAAGTGTGTGTTATGACTTTGAATTTTATTTACTCTTTATATGCCTGATTTTCAGTGCTTTGGAAAAAAAGATTAGTGTTCCATTAATTGCATTCAAATGTACATACAAGTGCCAAGACCAGCAGGAACAAATACATCATTGTGCTTTTGTGGCACATTACAAATCCAGTAGGACAGACCAGATATCTGTACACCAGTAAACAGAGAGATGGAACAACTCTGTTTTGGATTATCATGGATAAACAGCATCTGAACATGAGCTGATAAGATTCGCGCAGCTTTCCACCGTGCTATGTGAATATCCCATTTTTGGTCCCTGCTAGCTCAGGCATGTTGATGTTGTACACTATTCAGTGAAGAATTTTCCAGCATGGTGCTTGTTTCGGGAATGAAATCATGAGCTTTGTCATAGAGACTATCTTGTTTGGGGTGGTTTTGTGTGTGTCCCAGATGCTTTCTGTAATTACAGAATCAAGAGTGAACGCTACAGCAGTGGTGTGTTTGAATGTCTTTTGGCTTCTGTTGCTGTAAGATGCTGTAGTTTAGGAGCTTTGTGTTGTCTTGCCTAGGCTTGGGTGAAAAGGAAAATAAGTACTTTACAGTAATTGCTTCCCCCCACTCCTTTTCCCAGTGCAACATTCCTTCTCCCTACTAGGACAGAGAACAAAACCGAATTTCTGGGTGCCGGTACAAGTGCTGGTTCCCTGGCTTATAGGAATTATTTTTGCAAACAGGTAAGGTGGTAGTCCCTGGCTACTTAAAGCACTGTGATCCCTGTGGAAATTGCTGTACTCTTCAGGGAAAATACTTATTAATTACTGAATTGTTGCCTCTATCTTGCGCTTAATTTTCACTTCTTCAAAATGATTATGTTTGTTCTCTACGTAGATGCCGCTCAACCTTACTAATGCAGTGGCAACAGCAAGACAGCTCTTGGCTTACACTGTTGAAGCAGCAAACTTTTCTGATAAGATGGATGTTATTTTTGTGGCTGAAATGATAGAGAAATTTGGAAGATTTGCTGAAAAATATAAAGAGGTAACTGGATAATTTGCCATCACTTTAAAGATAATCAAAGTGTTTGTCCTTAAGTATTCTGAGCAGTGAAACCTTCTTCAACATTAGATGCAGGCACTGAGTTAGTGGATTATCAGATTCTATTCCATGTTTTTGTTTGTTTAGTAGGTCCCTGAAGTTGCTGACCCATGGTCACAGACTTCGCACTCGCGGTGAGATGATCCAGCATTCACTGGACCTGTAATGTGAGTAACACCTCTGGTCAGCACTGGAGCAGGGAGATAGGTACAGTAAGTCTGTTTTTATTTAATATGGAGTGGGTCACACAGGTTTTCATTGGTGTGTTCTTATCTAATAAAAATACAAGTAATGAAAGCCTCAGAGATCCTCTCAATAATGAATAAAACAAGACTTATGTTCTCCCCTCCCACCACGGTAGGCTGTCTTTATTCAGTATTGAGCTGTATCTCTAAGGTTTTCAGTATTCCTCTGTCTTGCAGGATATAAAACGTTAAAATAAAATCTTAGAGAACGCTCACTGTTGGGGAGAAAAATGCAAGTGGTCAAATAGTCCCACTTGTGGGTAGGAACTCTCTGTTTCACTGCTGAACAGAGGTTATATTGATCTCACTGTACAGTGCATGTTGGGAAGTTGGAGACCACAATACTTCAATTCTAAACTTGTGCAAAAAAAAAAACAAAACAACCAACCAAAAAAAACCCAACAAAACCCAACCAAATTTTTCCTGTCTACCCACAGCAAACCTTAAATGCTGATTCCGAATTCTTTGCAGAATTCCTTGGAGAATTTTCAGGCCAAACTTCCTTTTTACCATCAGAGCTTGGACTTTTTGGTGTATTTTGGAATTATACAAGTAGTTCGTTAAATGGCTGGTTTTGTGCCGAGTTGAAAATAGAAACATGTTTTAGATTGCTGCATGATTTGTTACATGATAAGGATGTTCTTTTCTCGGCTGTGATTTATTGTCTGTAGAGTGACACAATCTGGCATTACATTGCCATGTCTGAAGGTATATAGATGATATAAAAAAAAAAATCTAAGTTAAATTCTTAGGTAGTTTTGGTCTTAACTGGTTTGATTTGAAGTCAACCTTTGCTTTGCTGGTATATTCAAGGAACATGAGTGCAATTTCATGTAATAGTTTTTAGTATCTATAATAAGACTTAGCTGTTATTAGGGTATTGTTATTGCATTCACTTGTACCATGTTACTGTTCTTTAGTTTGTGTTACAGTGCTCATTCTTTTAAGATAAATACTGTAAATTATAAAAAGCTTTATATAATAGCTTTTTCATGGCAGAAGCAGCAAACTGAAGACAAATGTTCAGAAAAGTCTTAGATTGTCTTAAGTTAGAAAAGAGTTGGCAAAAAAACTTACGTATACCTTGATAAGCTGGGGAAAGAATGTGTAATTTATTTTTTTTAACAGTTCAAACCAACTTGAATCCTGTGACTTCAGGATCTTAATACAATAGTTTTTGTAAAGTTGATGTGTAAAATGTGTTACTATTTTTCGAGTAGTAATGTCATAATAAGCATCTTCAATTAATTTAACTTTGATTTGTTCTTGAGAATTTAAAGGGCTACAACCTGCAAATGCTGTTTGAGGCTCTGTTAGCTGTTGAGAATGTTTACTGACTGTAGTTTCTGTCCTTACAAGAGGCAGTTCCTAAGACAGTAAATATTTTTATATTTAGTTCTTGCCTTTATTTTTAAAGATGTAAAAAGAACAACAAACTACTGTATTCTGTCCTTACTAGTAATATTCTGAAAAGAAATTGGTAAGTCTGGATGGCAAAGGAGATGTCTGCCACACCCCACCCTGTTTCTCTTAAGCAGAAAATCCCAGTCCCTAAATTTAGTCACTGCGAATTGCATTTCAGTCAATTCAACTAGAAAATACATGCACCTTCTCTTTTGGTCCAACATTCGTCACTGTTTCTTAAATGTTATGAAAATCCAGTGAAGGTCAATGTTGTCAATGTAGGTGCTCATTAATTCTGGTGGAGTTGCAGCCTAAATAAATTAATTCCCTTTACAGTTTGTATTTGTCTGTCATACAGAAGACAGGGTAGGGACTGTGAGCATAAACTTATAACAATGTAATTGGTGGTTTGAAAGCAGCTGTGATACTTACGGATATTTGCTGTCTCATGTATAACCTGTGATCTAAAACAGGTCATGCAAAAATGAAGGCAAGTAAGGAAGCAGTAAAAGAAAAGGCAGACATAGCAAAAGGAAGAGAAGCAGAAGGATTGCATCCTAATCTTTGCCTGTATTGCTCTTTTCTTCTTATCTTCCCCCATACATGCAACCTGTTTTATTGTTGATTTATAGTTTATTTTTTATTTAATTTTATTTCAGTAACTATAGTGTCTAAAGTAGGTTATAAGTAGTCCTTTTAAATAATCATTACAGTAGAACGTGGAGCATTACACTCTTTGGTTTTAATGAAATACCTGTATTTCTCATGGTTTTGTTTTCTAAGTATAATGTAAACAGACAAATTACATTGGCATAAAATTTTTCTTGAAAGAAGGTAAATGCTTGAGTCAAAAGACTTGCAATATCTCAATGTGACAAGTGGGTGATTGAAACAGGAACAACCAATTTCCTTTTGCTTTTTGTGCTGACAAGTCGCTTTGTATTTTCTGATAATGATCCTACCTGATGAATGCTTTCGGAGATATAAAGTAGTCTTATTTCTCTTCTCTGCTAGCTTGGTGATGTGATGGTGGACATAGCAAGTAACATTATGTTAGCTGATGAACGTGTTTTGTGGATGGCACAAAGGGAAGCCAAGGCTTGCACTAGAATTGTACAGTGTCTACAGAAAATTGCTATGTATCGGCTTGCAAATGGAGCTCAAGTTTATTCTACTGTAAGTATAAATTTATTTATTCAGAAGACATTTTGCTGCCTCTTGAGTTTCAATAGCTTTTTATTTTCTTAATACATGTTGGCATTGTCTGAGATGCCTACTATTTCTGTAGGGAGAAGAGAAGTACTCTGAAGAGATTTATCTCTGCCAGATAAACAGTTTTCTGTGTGGTTTTTGTTTTGTGGGTTTTTTTTATTCTGCTGAGGCAAAGAATCCCTTTTAAGATTATTCTTCTTCTTCTTCCTGTGATGTGCAAAATTATTTAATGTTCGATTTTTGTCATTACAGTATTCTCCAAATATTGCTCTTGAGGCTTATGTAATAAAGGCTGCTGGTTTCACTGGGATGACATGCACTGTATTTCAGAAAGTGGCTACATCAGATCGTACAGGGCTCAGTGATTATGGGAGAAGAGATCCAGATGGAAATCTAGATAAACAATTAAGCTTTAAGTGCAACGTTTCAAATACACTGTCAAGTCTGGCTTTAAAGGTTGTATACTCATTGTTTCCCTACTGACTTTGTAAAAATATCTTATATATGAGTCATTTAGAAAGCTAGCTTATATTACTAATTTCTAATGTTAAAGTAGCATTCCTACGTAATGCAGAATGACTGTGACAAGAGATAATTAAAGTGACAAAGGATAATAAAGCTTCATTATAGAATGTTTTTTAATAGACACGATTTCTAATGAGTAGGTGTGGCTTCCTTTATTAAAACTTACTAAGTTGAAAGGTGCTTTCAGACCATTTCATAAGTATGGAAATCGAAATGCTCCCTAGGTCATAATAATATTTGGCTTTATTTTGCTGTGTATTCACCGTCATTACATATTAAATGAAATATTACCAGTCTCCTTAAGTATCTGAAGTATTCTGCTCAGAGTGATGCTGTAATTAAGTATGAAGTAGAAAATGAACCTGAAAGGTTAGTTTTATTTGAATGTGTGTGTGTGCATATACACACACACATGCGTGTATGTATTTGTGGCTGTGTATAGAATGGAAACACTTCCTCATATTGTGTACAAGTAATTTTTCAATTACATTCCCTAACATACTAGCTTGCTTTTATCACTTAATTCACTTGAATGTCACTGTAGGGTGTATATTTGAAATTATATTTATGTAATTCTGTGAAATCACATGCATGCTCCTCTACCTAAGTATAATTTATGTACAAGTTGTCAAAACACGTTTGTACACAGCAATTCATTTTGAAAGCTACTAATGCACAATTACAGCATTTCTCTTTGGTTGCTGCTTCTAGTTGCCAGGAGTTTAATCTGGAAAACTCTGGTAATACTTTACTGATATTAACTGCAACTTTATTTTCTGTAACAAGAAAAGTAACTGCAGAATCTTATTTTTTTAATTTTTTTTCTTTCTAAAAAAGTACTCAGACTTCAGTAACCTGATTCAACTATTTTATCATGGATTACTTGGAGATACTGTCAGATAGGTTTGTCACAACACATAGTCTGCTAAATGCAGTTGGAGGATTTGCTAATTTAATCTCTGTAAAGAATTTCACTTTCCCTTAAAACTTTAAAAATCTGTTTATTTTTAGAACACAGTTGTAGAGGCTTCTATCCAGTTGCCAGCTTCCCTCTTCACCCAAAAGCAAAAAAGAGAAATCAGACCAGCAGATGAATCTGTCTACAAGCTTCAGCTTATTGCATTTCGCAATGGAAAGCTTTTTCCAGCAACAGGAAATTCCACAAATCTGGCTGACGATGGGAAACGTCGTACAGTTGTAACACCAGTTATTCTTACCAAGATAGGTTTGTTTTTATTATTACTTTTTTATAATCTTTAAAAAGCAGAAAGCATTTTTGACCTCTTTGTTTCAGCTAGCGTAGATCTTATAAAAGTTTTTTAGCATCTCATGTGTTATGTGTTGACAAATTCACGTGCAAATACATTTCTTTTGTAACAGATGGTTTAAACCTAGCCAGTCACCACGTTCCTATAAATGTGACACTGCGGCGCATTGCGCATGGAGCAGATGCTGTTGCAGCTCAGTGGGACTTTGATCTACTGAACGGACAAGGGGGATGGAAATCTGATGGTTGTCGCATTCTTCTGTCCGATGAAAACATTACTACCATTCAGTGCTACTCCCTCAGCAACTATGCTGTTTTAATGGTATGACAGTTAGAATTACGTGTCTCTTTCTGGCACTTAAAAATACTCAAAATACAATTCTGTTTTTGTTTTGTTTTTTCCTTGCATTAAATAAAATTAGCATTCCCATGTTTCAGTTCACATAAAACTAGGCATAAGAAATCTTCAGTTTTTGCTTGCATTGATACAAATGTTGATGTAAGATGAGGTTTAAATGGAAATCTGTCAAAGTGGAATTAATTGCTGAATATATTAGACACAAAAGAATTTTCATACAAAAAGTACTGTTATAGGAAGCCATTTTAATGAGCTACTCAATCAAAGGAGCTTTTATGAACTTCAGTCTAATAATGACAGTTGAAAACAAAGTTAAAAAAGCCTATCTTCTCTGTGTTAGATTAAATTTGTTAGCTTTGTCTGTTGACAGGTATGTGTTCCCAAGATTTTCTTTTTTCTGTGATCTATAAGCAGATAGCTATTTCACTGCAAATTAGCAATTCATTCACTAGTATAGAAGTCTGTAACCAGAAGACGTCAATTGAAAAAGGACAAAAAATCAATGTTAATGAAATGGTTAACCAGTTCTAAAATGTAGTAATAGTTAAAGAAGAAGGGAACAAGACACCTTCTTTTAGTGCTTGTCAGTTATGAAGCAGGATTTCTTCTGTCTCTCGGTTCCCAGAGCTCTTCATTTCAGAATTTAGCCTGGTAAGCTTCCCTTTTTACAGATGGTGACTGCTATCCTGCTCATCAGTCATCACCACAGATGCTAAATGATAAAATGTGATACCTAAAAATGGTGGGCTAGCAGGACCAGTAAGAGGTTTAGGAAATACTGTGAAGTGTTAATTTGGTATGGGGTTTGTTGTAGTTAGTGTGCTCTGTGTGGAATTAAATACATATTTTTATGTAATTGTGTGTGGAAAAATGAGGATTCCTTAAGGATGATCAGTACATTAGAAGCTATTTTTTTTTTGTAACCCAAATTTTCAAAACTATTCCTCTTAAGAGAATTAAATATTAGAATACCAAAAAGCTAAGCATAAATAAATTAAGATTAATATGCCAAGCTTTTAAAAAGAACTCAGCAACTTTACCTTTGAAGGTACTGTTTTAAATTACTTCAAACTGTTATAATCCTGTAGTTACTTTCTTTGATTTTCTTTTTTTTTAAATATGTAACCTTTTTCTAATACGTAACAGCATTCTTTAAAACAGAATTAAACTTCATTTGTATGTGTAGTATGCATTAGAGAGATGATGCTTTAAATTGGTCACATTTCTGTCATCTGGAGGAAATAAAAGCATATTCAGTTTGGCGCTGTAAATTGTATTTGTAAATTAATAGACGTTAAGATTATATCGATATCTTACTGTGAGTTATCTAAAGAACTGTGGACAAACAGAAATCAAAAAATTTAGAGGAAGGGGCAGCTTTCTTCCTTTTCTGTGAGTCACTCTCATTCGATGCTTGCTCAAAAATAGTATTCCTTAAATATTTAGCTGATTCCCGAAATACTAGGCTGTAGAGACTGGAGAGGAGGGGGTAGGTGGAGTGGAACAGTGTAATATCCATCCAACAGATGTTCCTTGCACACAGTTAATACACTGCAAAAGCTCTAGATGTCTTAAGTGGCTGCTGAAAAAGGTTTTCATAATGCCTATCAATATAGTAACTAAAAAAGCCATAATAACTTATTTCGTTTGTAAAATCTTGCAGTGTTGTGAAAGTCTGGGTTCTGGTCCCAGGATCGTAAAAGGCTGTTCTTTTGGGTTCCATTTTAGACGTTTGGCTTTTAATTCAGCAGTTATCATTAACAGCAGATACATGAGCGGTAGTGTCAGGAGAGACCTGAATGCAATGCTCCATCATCCTGGCTGGATGGTGAATGACTTAACCAGAGTTACTTCATTCACTTTTTAGTCTACTTTACTTTAATGTGTATGTGTGTAGAAGAAAGCAGGCTGTAATGAACTGACCTATTTTCATACATTTCAGAACATAAGGTAAAGTCCTGTTTCATAAGGAAACCTATAACAGAGTGCCTAGTTTTCTAATCTAGTGATTTAGGAAGATACATTTGTAAAATTTTGTATTAATTTGGAAATTTTAACCACTGTTTAATAACAGAGAAGGTAACCAGGATGCTCAGCTGGAGTCTCATTGTTATAGGCCTGTAGCAGAGGAAAAAAACAGCAGTGGTAGTGGAGAAGAGAGTTCTGCTAGTTTGCTGTAAACACACCAGTGTTGTTCTTAATGCCATCTCTGCTGTTATTTTACTGTTGGGTTTTTTCACTGAAATATTAATGAGGGTCATTTTAGCTTAGAAATAGCATTATTAGCTCCTCTCACTCCTTTTAGGTCAGAATAAAAATGCAGTCAGTAAGAATTCCATTGACTTAGTGGGTATTGGGTCAAGGCCTGTGCTAGCTAGGCTAGGCATACTGAGTTTTCTCAGGTGTTGTAGAATATTATTGTAAATCTTGTGATTTTGTAGCTCGTGTTCTCAAAGTTCACACCAATACATGCATCGTGTTTTGTTACCTGTCACCAATCTGGAAGCAGCAGTCGGAATTCTGTAAAGGCCTGTGAGGATACTGGAGAGGGACTGTAGCAATAGGGTAAAGGATAATGGGTTTAAACTTAAATAGGGGAAGTTCAGGTTAGTTATAAGGAAGAAGTTCTTTACAGTGAGGGTGGTGAGGCACTGGAATAGTAAATGCTCCATCCCTGGCAGTGTTCAGGGCCAGATTGGACAGAGCCTTGGGTGACATGGTCTAGTGTGAAGTGTCCCTGCCCATGGCAGGAGGGTTGGAATTAGATGATCTTAAGGTCCTTTCCAACCCAAACCATTCTACGATTCTGTAAGTTGCTGTTCTTCAATACTCACTGGCTGTGTGGCAATGTATTTGCTCATGGTTGTAATATTAGTGAGTTCCTAGGGATCTCTGGCTGGATACCAGCCAGCCTATGGGTAGGGTTGAAATCATATTTGAAATCATATGATGCTGGCTGCCTGAGGCATAATATCTTATGATCTTTCCCGAAGTGTTTTTTCCAGGTGCCAAAGAAAACCAAATACATAAAACTCAAACTGACAATCTGATTAAATTAGTTTGAAATGAGGTTGGTGTGTTAGTTAGGAATAACAAATTTATATTCTGATGAAAGAACAATTGAAGGAGTGGTGAAGAGACTACTGACTCTAATTTAATTACAAGCCTCGATTCAAGAACTCTTCTTCTGTCCATGAAATTAGATTACCCGTCTTAACCATAACAACAGATTGTACATCACTGTGCTTTTTCTCAAAACAAACTGAGGCTTCCTCCTAATTTTCTATCTTCCTTTATGATTGCCAAATTTGTTTTCCTTTCCACCAGCACACTTTTGAAGTTTGCCAGCTCTAGAGGTTTTAGAGTGACTCACTCAGAATTATAGGTGAGAGAAGTTTCTGTATCCTGTCTGTTGAGAAAAATTATTTTTTGTAAACCAAATTTGCCTAAGATCAGTGTTAGACTTCATAGCAGCCTTCCAGTATCTGAAGGGGGCCTGCAAGGATGTTTCAGAGGGACTGTAGTGATAGAACAAGGGGTAATAGCTTCAAACTTAAAAACAGGGGAAGTTCAGGTTAAATATAAGGAAGAAGTTCTTTACTGTGAAGGTGGTGAGCCACTGGAAAAGGTTGCCCAAAGAAATGATAAATGTTCCATCCCTGGCAGTTTTCAAGGCCAGGTTGGATGGAGTCTTGGATGGCCTACTGTGAGGTGTCCTGGCCCATGGCAGGGGGCTTGGAATTAGATGATCTTAAGGTCATTTCTAACACAAAACATTCTATGATTCTATGATCAGTGGTAGTCTACTTTGTGCTGGAATGGACTGAAGGGTGTTTTTCTGTTTCTTTATTTCCCAGTGTTTATTACCATTATGGAAATGGAACTGTAAATTGTAACTGCATCCAAACAGAATTCTTTCTTTTTGCTCTTGTTAGTAAATGAAAAAGTCACTTCTTAAATGTTTGAAATACTTCCATGCTTTAACTGTTCAAGGTTCCTTTTTGTGCTTACTCTTGAGTAATATTTTGATGGGTGGATTCAGCAAACTTGAACAATGCTGAAGGGCTGTTGAATTCTATTTATCAGCTATCTATTCTGGTCAAACAGCAATCATAGAATAATAGTCTGGTAGGAACATGTGGGTGTCATTTGCTTCCGTTACCTGCTCAAAATTTGATCACATTCAAAGTGAGGTCATATTGCATCATATTTCACCTTAGAGGTTCCTGTTACTACCTGTGTTTCCTCTGCTCTTTTCCTGCCCTCATAGAAAGAAGAAATAACATGGATTAATGTTAATTTTGTTCTTGTTGTTGTCAGGACTTGACGGGAGCTGAATTATATACGCAGCCAGCTGATCTTTTGCATCCAGTAATTTATGCCACTGCCATGGTTTTGCTAATGTGTCTGTTGATGATCATAGTCAGTTACATATACCATCACAGGTATGAATCAAAACTTAACTAAAAAAAAAATAGTTTCATAGTGCCTAGGATTACTACTTCTTTTTGATTGAAACACAACACAGTAATCTGCATTTGGTTGGGGTTTTTCCCTATAAAATTTGTTGGTGCAAACTAACAGTTAAGCAAGTAGCTATTTCACGGGTTCTTGAGTATGACAGTTTATCTCTCATAACCATGTATTTCTTTTTAATGTTTTTAGCCATGTATCTCACTTGTGCTTCACAATGAAAGAGACCACTCAAGAATGTTGGTAGAATTTAACGAGCCCTTCAACATTTTACATTTTTGTTGATACGAAAGCTGGAAGGCTAAAATTTTTGAATCAGGCCCCAAATAGTTGTATAAAGGTAGTTAATAGGAGGTTGTTCCAATTACTTGTGATGAAGACCAGATTCGATTTGATTGCAAAGTATGTGGTAGTTAAATGATCATTAACAGTAATTATAGCTCATTTATCACAAGTGTATCTTGCTAGTTTATGAAAGACAATAATGTAGC